TTTTTTTAAAAAAAAATTTGGGGGGGGGGGGAGTCCACTGAAAAAGATGGCAAACATCTCAGATCCAAGAGGGTGATTGCAATGGACGCTTCAAAATCTGAGGCCCAATATTTCACAAAATGACTTTATTTTTTTCCTTAAATGATATCACAAAGCCAAAAATGTTGTTGGTTTCATTAAAGCCAAAGAGGACTTCTGCAGCCCTGTAGGAACTGGTGGAAACGGTTCTATGAAATATAGAGGCTAAAATAGCACTTACCAGTTAATCTGAATAAATAAAGGTGGATTCAAACAGATCCGAGCTACAGGCGGGTGAGCATTCTGCTCATGTTTGGCCCCCAAATTTGACTCTTGGCAATGTAGTGCTAATTATTTCTTTGGCCCTCTGTTTCGTTATTCTTTTACCCTTCTGAAGCATTTAGATCTATTCTTCAGCTTGCTTGGGTTAATCTTTCTGTGAGCTTTGCACAATATGCCAGCCTTAATTGGGGGCTAATCCATGGTTTGGGGTGCTGTGTGAACCCAGCAAGTGGGGTTAGTTGATGGCCAACAGAGATAAATCAGTGATCCACAATTCACCATAGGTTAGTGTGTGGTGCCACCCTGTCCTTTTGAGGTGACTTCAGAAAGGAAGTGCCCTCTTGCACTTTGGTGAAATAATTCTGAGGGAAATTGAGCCAGATTCTGTTCTAATCTGGCACTCAATCCATGGATACGATTGATGCAATCAGTAAGATGAAGTGGTCCCAAAGATCTTTTGAAATAAGTGTATTTATGGTGGAGAGAAGCACAAGAAGTGTGGGTGGTGGAGCTAAATGAGTGATGGAATCCAGTTCTAATGCTGAAAGTTGCCTGGAACTATAACCTTCCCCATAGGGACTTCATGGAAACGTCTATGCAGTTTCATGGAAGGACAAGGGAATGGTTCACCATTGCCTTCCTCCGGGATGTTTTCAACTTCAGCCTGACCTACCCCATGGTATTCCTAAGTAGTCTCCCATCCAGGTCCTAACCAGAGTTGACCCTGTTTAGCTTCTGAGATCAGCCAAAGTTGGCCAAAAGCTGCCACCTCCCCAACTTTGGGTCCTTGAAACGTGATGGTCCACAACTTGAACCACTCTTCCATCTCACACATCTGGAGGGAAAGGTTGATGCCTCTCACGTGAGAACCACAATTAAGGGCAGCAGGAATCATCTGTCTGGCTGCAAAGCCTATTCTGGTTCCTATTCTCTATCTAGATGCAACCAAGCTAGGGCTCTTAATATTTTCTCTGCAATCCCTACCACCATTCACACAAATATCCCAAGCAACATGTGGATCTTTGAGCCTGTCCTATTTCTCTACCTCCTCTTGACATGGGAGCAAGCCCCCCAGAGAAAGTTTTGACTTTGGCCATCACTGCAGCATTCCTACTTCGTGCCCTCTTAAGTTTGAAAGCCTGCCCATTTCTGGGCCAAAACCTGGAACATTTTCCACCTGTTTGCTCAGCTGTTCAAGCTTGTTGAGTGTTCCTGGCCTCTCTATCCACCTGACAAACAATGCCCATCAGCCTGGCTCTTCCGCTGCTGGAGGCAAACACCTGTTTGCAGTCACTTCAGCCAGCTGTGAGCTGGAGGAATGTATAAGGTTTTTTTCTTCTTCGTTCTCCCTATCTGTGACTTTGGAAACGTTCTTCCTGCCAGCTTTCCCCACACCTACATTACTGGGGTCATTTCAGAGTCTAATCTTGGAGACAGGACTGGGGAGCAAGTAACTCTTGATTATAAAGAGAGTAAAATTAACTGTAACTTAGTTTGGGAGAGATGGAGAGCAGAGATCACTACCTTCCTCAGGGTACTGTTTAGAAACACCAATAATGGGGCATGCCCACCAATAGTGAGGGGGACAGAACAGGCTTCAGTTAGCACTTGAGTAGATGTCCCCTCCGCAACAGAATGAATGACCAGGGGGGCAAATTTAGCAGGGCTGATTTGCCACCCTTGGAAATAAGTGATAAGAAAGTCTCTGCCACCCTCCCTTACTTAGATAAGAAAGCACAGAAGGAAACACACTACGCTTGTGAATGGAAAGATTGCTAGACAAACTGGCTCGGAGATAGAAAGCAAATTCCTGCGCTGCAAGTGTTGAGCACCTCGGCCTTCTGCAATTGTAGATGTAACTTCCTAAACTGCTGCTTTGCACCCAGTTCCACCAAAAGGACCTCAGTGAAAAGAAAAGGAGATTCTGCAAAGCTGGAGATGGTGACCCAAGGGGTGGGACAGCGGAATATAAACCCCTGAAGTTCAGAATCTGAAATGACAGGTATTTAAAGGTTGGGGTGGGAAGATATAAATTCCCTGGAGTCGCACTCTTCAACTGTATTCATATTTACCAAGAAAAGCCCTTCTGATTTCTTTTGCATCTCTTATCTATCCCTGCTTCTTTTGGTTGTCTTTAGAGACCCTTGAGTTGAAATGGGTTATTTAAGCTATCCAAGGCAGCCCATCACCTCTCTGGATCATTGTCTGGATCTTCTGCTGTAATTAGGAGGGTGTTCCCCTGCCCCGCCGCCCCAAAGCAAATAGGCACATGAGTTTTTAGGCCAGCCATTTTCCAGTGTTTCAGGCCCCTCTCTGGTGCCCTACGAGTGAATTCTCTCTCCTTAGTAAAATTTTGCAGAGTCCTGATAAAGTTGTTTGCTTATCACCAGCCCTTAAAATAGAGGAAACGTTGCAGTTGTTGAGTGGGCTGGCATCTCCAACTCTTTCTCCATCAGCTGAAACATATTAAATGTTATCTCTCCACCACCCATGTGTCCCATGGTTAGTCTTCTATTTTTCCTGTTGTTTTTACATGGTGGGTATGCATCTATTCATATATAGCTTGGCATATATGTTGAGTGTTGCATCCAGTCTTTTAAATATTTTGTTGGCAGTACAATCTTTAAGGGGAAAGTGTGTGTATTTTGTCTGTAGAGCATTTGCCTGCAATTGCACACACCAGAACACAGATGGTGTTGGGTTAAGTCAACCAGCCAACAATAAGTGCTGGGGATCTATTTGAAATAGTAATAACGTATTAGCAGCCTCTTGCACTTTAGATGTTTAGACATCTAAACATCTAAAGGAAAGGGCATTTAGAAGGGAAGAGCAAGGCAAAAGGAAGATGTTCCTCCATCTCTCTGTCCTGGACTGGTGCAGAAATGGAGATGGAGGAAATGTGGGGCTTCATCCCACCAACTCCTGACCCTGAATCTGATCTTGGCCCAGCTCAAGAGCTTCTGGAGGCCCCTCCCACAAAAGTGAGTTTTGAGGAAGCCATTTACAGGAGTGGTGAGTCATTAGAAGGACTACTGTATTCCCTTTCCCTTTCAAGACACTTTTGTGAACTTGCAAGGAGATCTCAATCCTGCTGAACAGCAAATACCTTTGTTGGAAGTGATGGGGGAGGGAGGGGATGTTGGGAGAGGTGCTGAGTTACACAGAGGAACATAAACAGCCGCTGGCGCTGTATCTCCGGCATCTTGGCAGGTGAGAAGAGGCCCTGGAGCCCCTGGAGCCCCAGGACCAATCTTTTCCAAACCCAAGAGAATTTCAACTGGAGAGAAAATTCAAGGCTGCAGGGGCCAGAGAAAGACTCCAGCCAGAGACCCCACTGAAAAGTAAGTCAAACACCTCCCCTCAGTGTGTTTGTTACTGTTCCTTATTTTTCACATCCCTTTTCTGGCCAAAGATCTAATGGATCTTCCCCAACTGTATTACCTTCACAGCAACCTTGTGGGGGTAGAAGAAGCCCTAAGATGGGAATGTGCTTATGATCAGCTTGGTGATCTTTCACAGCTAGGCAGATATGAAATCTCCTTGATCTTAACCTGACACTCTCAATTCTCTGCCTCTGATTTTGGGGACATCATTGATATCTACTCGTGGGCAAATTTAGCTTCCTGTTCCATATTCCTAGGAACAGGTTCTTTAGATTGGAACTGAAGTGATCAGCCTTTCAAAGGGAGGACTCACCTCTGTCAAATAGGGTAGAAGGCAAGACAGTAGAAACAGCATTTTTTCCCCACCCCTCCCTGATTTTTCCTGTCTACTTCTAACCATAAGCCCCACTGTATTTGATGCACCAGATCAAGACAGTTCAAGAAAATGAGGCTGAATATGCCACGGAGGGAGGTGGAACAAAGAATCACGTCACAGTTGTAAGCCAATCTGAGCTTACTCTGTTTATGGCTAGGAAGCAAAACATATGGATAATTTCTCCAATGCTGCGTCTCCAGGCTGGGAGTGGGTCAGTGGGGAGGAAATCTCCTTGGAGCTTTTCCGCTTCTCATGCAGCATTTGGAATCTTTGTAGCCTAACAACAACCTGTAGAGTGGCATCATTCCATAACTTCCCCCTCCCCACAATAAATTTTCACAAAAGCACATGTTTATCTAGATCAGTGTTTCTCAACCTCAACAACATTAAGAAGAAAGGTTCGGAAAAACCCCACCTACACCTTTTCCCCACCCCCCCGGACGGGGAATGTCGGCAACAAAACCCCCCCCACTGTTTT